TGCAGCCGCCCCTCCTGCCCGAGCGCTCGGGGGGCCGGAGGGGTCGGGGTGTCACTCGCTCGGCTCCCTCCCGGTCTCCTCCAGGCAGCCCTGGGCGCTGGTGGGGATCCTCGGAGGGGATCAGCGCTCCACAGCCGAAGATAAGCGGGAGTATCACGGGAATGGAACAACGGGGTTAGCCGTCGCCCAGAGAGATTTCCTCACCTACGATGGCACCTGTTTTACTGTCACTGCTTTCAGCGGATGGATAAAAGGTTTAGTCTTTCCTGACAACTGCTTGTCCTCTGTTGCTTTGCTCTGATTTTTTTCCTGGCAGCCGTGAATCTGAACAGTGCAATGACAGTAATGCCGTAGACTTTCGCTCGCATGCACGGTGACCAAACTAAGAGCAGCGCTCTCGCAAAGTAACGTCTTAGCTGCCTATAGAGAAGTGACGCTGCCATTTAATGGCTGGAGCGCTTCTATCGCACGCAGAGTTATCTAGATAAAACTTAAACTGGTATGCTCTTTGGCTGATTGCACGATTCTGTCGTGTGCAACTGTAAAAATAATTGATCGCTTCGTTCTTCAGGGGTGCCTCATAATGGATTTAAAGTCGAAGCGTCCAAAGGAATAATTCTTCATTTGGTGGATGAGGTTACAAGTTGGTTACCTGGCGACCGGATCGTCGTTGCCAGTACAGATTATTCTATGCATCAGGCTGAAGAGTTTAATCTCCTTCCTTGCCCTGAATGTAAAAGTAATCAAGTGAAAATTGATGGTATGAAATAGTTTTAGCAAGCTACTCATTTGTGGTAAATTTTTACATTATCTTATCATTAACGTTCTACATTTACATTTCCTTGTCTTTTTAGCTAGTTTTTGTTCCATAAACACATGGGCACTTGTCAATATGAAAGCTGAAGGCCCCGATATTGAAACTTTAAAGTTTGTCCAGGGGCAGCAGTCCCTTGTAGAGGTCAGGGGAAGTGCTAATCTCCCCTGGGATCAAATACTAACAACTGGGCACGTCCCCAAACTTGGCGATTGCTTAAATGAAAGTCGTGCACTTGCTTAGAACAATGCGATAATGAAGAAAGACGCTGTGCTCACCCTGAATAAAAAGGTTTTTGATTTTCACAGGCAGCCCACTTTATCTTCACATTGGAGAAGTCATTGATGGCATCGATATGAGGGCAGAGGTTGGTCTTCTGACTAGAAATATCCTTATTCAAGGAGAAATGGAAGACTCCTGTTATGGACAAAATCAATGTCAGTTTTTCTCCTTTGATACATTCGGAGGACATATTAAAGTGAGTAATATTGAATGCATATACCTGTAGGTGATTTCAGATCGTTCCTTTCCTGGTTTGTAAGCAAGCAATATAATGCATGAAACTGTTGTTGTACCTGGGGAAAAAAAAATACTTGTCTACAAAGAAGGGAAAAGTTTGTTGGCCTCTTTTGCGAAACTAGACTTGCAATGAAGCTGTGCCATTTTCTTTACCGTGTATGCAAAAACATACCCTTCTCTGGGTGAGAGGGGGTCTTTAGTGGCATTGGGGTCAGTAGGGTCAGTGTGAAGTTACACAGTTCATGAGATGTCACTGAAGAAATTGTGCTTCCTGCAGAGCAAACCTGCTCCCTTCATGGCTCAGAGAAGTGCTGGGTCTCGCCCTGTTGTGCTTTCCTTCCTCTTGGTTGTCCTGTGTGTTCTTGGTGGAGGTGGAAATTCTTGCTGTCGCAGGGGCTTTGAGTAAAATTACTCCACCACCAGCTGGGGGAAAGTGGGGAGCTGTGCAGGTCTTGCCTAAAATCACTTGGCAGAGATAAAGTTGCCGGGAAATAGAGCCTGATGGTAAATGATACCCCTTTGTGTAGCTGGCAGGAGTATCTTGTCCATAGCCGTGTCACACACTGCTATTGCTAAATGCTGCACGTGGTGTTTGGCAGCTGTTCCTCGGCAGTGCCAGCCACTGGCACGCTGCTGCGCTGCTGTGAGTCAGAGCAGGGAGCTGACACCTCCTTCTGGGATCAGGCCCTGTTTTACTCTGCAAACGTATTGCCTAATAATAAGGAAAAAAACAAGTTTCCTTTTTGCATGTGTTTATGTTGTAATGCCTTACTTGGGTCTACATTTGTCTCAACAGATCCTAAGGAATTTTAGCTCTGTTCACATGTCAGGAGTGGAATTAAAAAACATGGGGCAGCAAATCCTGGGAAGTTATCCTGTGCATTTTCACTTGGCTGAGGATGTGGATGAGAGAGGAGGATACGAACGCCCAACGTACCTTGATAACCTGGCTATCCACCACTGCTTCTCTAGGTGTGTTGCCATACATGGGACTCATGGCCTTCTGGTAGGAGACATATTTTATTAGTACCAAGTTAATTTCTTTGCTTAGGCACTGCTAAACAGTAAGAGCCATTTGTGATACAAAAAGAAATCAGAATATTGAAACATGGCATTTTTTTCCCCAAGAAATGTCCTGACATGTCAACTTCATTTGACTGGTATTCGGGTTAGGACTGTTGTTCTGGTACTGCAGCTCTTTGAAATGAATTTCAGGTTCCTAACTAATATTATTGTTATTAATGCTGTAATCAGATATAATGAAATCTTTGCCATGGTTATTCTGGAAAGCTTGTGATAATAGGAACTTTCATTTAAAATGAAAGCAATGGACCTTTACTGGACCTGACTGAAGTAATGAACCTTTAATTTGCAAAGGAGATAAAAAAGAGAGGGGTTGTTCAAGTCAGGGCAATGTGAAATATATCCAAAAATATTCACATGACAAAGGGAATGAAATATGAGAGGGACAGACCCCAACGGCCGCTTCGGTGCCAGAAAAGCCCTCAGGAACTTGGCTTTGACCTAGATCCTCACAAGGGCATTGTGGGGAGGAACTTAAAAAAAAATACCCACAAAAAAGCCATACGTGTCCCAGCTGGAAAATACAGATTCCTGCTCCAGTCCTGACACGTCCAGTTGCTGTGTGCTCTGCACGACCCTGAACAGTGTTTCGGTGTCTGTGGGTATTTCCTCATTCACCTGATGTGTGCTCAGGCAGAGACACTCCCTGAACTATCCATGACCTCCCACATTTTTCGTGACAACTTTTTCTCAACCCAGAACATAAAGCTGCGTAAGATGTGACACAGATGCGCTCTGGTGGGACCCTTCTGTGAAAGGGTCCCCCCCAAAAGGATGTATTCATAAAAATGTGGTGCTGGACTTGTACAACTGGGAGCACTTTTCATGTATCCTAAACTGGACTTGCATTGTCCAGATCACTCAAAATATTGATTGCCTTCTCGTATACGTGACTTGCTCTGGCTGTAGAGCCTGCTTTTGTGTACAGAGCCCTTAAATGGCAGGAGACCTGCCCAGTATGTGTAGGTATGGTTTAACTTGCTGTCTCTTCTCGTTGGTATTAAACCTCTGGAATTGAAGGAACCTGCCTGGGATGAAAAGTTAAGCCTTATGTTAATACTGGTCCTGACAAGAATGGTGCATGCTCTTGGTTTTTATCAGAAGTGAGGTTGTCAAGGGTTTATCTGGACGAGTGGGATGCAGTAGTTGTGAAATGAAGAATCCAAGTGTGAGATCCAGCCCCCCTGCATCTGACTGTTGAGGGCTTTGAGTCCATGAATCAGCGAATAGATTTTATGGCAAAGGTTAAATATGTGATTCTGTGGAAGAATTGTCTGGTTTCAATACAGTCATTAAGATAAAGAGTAATTAAAATGTAATAAAAAGCCTTGCTTTAAGATAAATTAAAATAATGTGCAGTTCCAGTGAAGAGCGTGTATATCAGAGCAAGGCAGTTAAATAACATACATGGGTACCTGTTTTAGCACCAGGTTATGAAACTTCAGCCCTTGAGGCAGAATAAACCGGATAGCTGTTTTCTTCCTCTCGTGTTTTGAGGGTTTAGAGGATGTAATTGTAGAAGTACATTGCTGGAGTGCTGTGGTTTGCACTTTGCTGCGTACTGGCCGTGCAGTGCTGTCTGCAAGGCCCTTCTCCCGTCTGCCCCATCTGCTGCTCCCGTGTGCCAGGCTTGTGCCACTTTGCAAGCTGGCGGCAGCAGCGCCCACAGCGTGGGTTACTCACCGTGGCTGGGAAGCAGGCTGCGACGCGCCTCTCGCCGCCCTGGCACACGTCAGGCGTGCGCAGACTACTGTAGTCTTTCATGTCTAATGTGTCAGTGCATGAAGGTCATTTATATTGTGTTGCTGAACTATATATAATTCAGTGTTTAGAGGCATCTTAATCATCTGGTGTTGGACACACCAGCGGGGCTGTAGCCTGCGTTGTGGACGGTGTTTCACGCTGACATATACAGTAATATGCTACTGTCACAGTGCCGCAGGTGGGCTCTCGTTTCCAAGCTTTTAGTTTCTATCTGTGATATGCCAGAATTGATCAGTTATTGGGGTTTTGATCTAATGGCATGGGCCCTTATCTTTCAGTGCAAATGTAAGTGATCTTTGAATTATGTTATTTCTGGTTAGGAGAGTGATCAATGTAGTTGCGCATATGTAAGTTTTCGGGGCTGCCATGCGATTCTGAAGCTGTGACTAATCATATTAATTAAGGCTCAAATCTGGTTTTGGATACAAGGCTGGTTTTTAATGCAGCTGTCTGAAGCACGGATTAGCCAAACTTCTGCTAAATTCAGAAGAATGAAACTCTACAATTGAAATGCTGTTTAAAACAGCGAGCGGTTTGTTGTTACAGTTTCTTTCCAAAAATAGTCTTGCATGGCCTCCTTAGCACAGCTCCTGCCCATCATTTGGAAGGGTTGAAGTAGCCAGGCTTACTGTTCTTAGCAGGTTGGCAAGGACACTTGCATTTTTATCTAAATCCATTTCCTCTCAGTATTTCCAAGACTCAGCTGGTAGGGACATGTTCAGTGTTGCTGCATGTAGGTTCTCTGTTACCCTCCTTGTAGCTACTGTACCTGTGTGCAGGGTCTCGGTGCATTTCCAAAACTGTATCGGTTAGGTGCTGGGTACCTGGTTGTGTTGTGCCTTGTTTTTAACTCTCTCGTGAACACCTCATCAGGGCAGAAACGAGAGCAGCAGATGACAAGTTTGAGGGGTGACTGCCAGGAAAACAGTGAAATCCAGTAGAGGTATACCTATGGGGACTGTACTGTTTGTGACTCCAGATGTTATGTACAGTTGCAGCCCATTAAGGGGAAATCACAGGATATGAGCCTGAAATGCATTTACTTCAAGTATCCCCCCTGTATACAAAAATAACCAAGTAGGTTAATATTAGTTAATCCTGCAGTCTTACACAGACATAACTCTGACATCAACAGGAATTTTGTATGCCTGAAGAGTGAATAAATATGCTGACAGGGATCATTTGAGTGCAAAGTTAAAGTTTCAGTAAGGTTTAGTAACAAATAGCTGGTATTTTAACTAGCCTGATTTAGTATTTACATTTAAAAGAGGGATTTCTGAATTCATCTTCATAAGACTGTACATCAAAGGAGGCTTGTGCTAAGTCCTCTTGGTCAAATTAGGGTTTAATGCAATATCCCTGTGCATGCCAGTTAATATTAAATAGACTGAAACAGTAAAATACCAGCTCTGCCCAAGCTGATCATTACAGGAATGAAGTGTCCCTGCATCTTCTGAGAGTCAGGAGAAAGAACAGAAAACTCGTTAATATAAATTACTTCACATGATGTATTTTAAAGAATTTCTTATTTTATTTGGGAAGTGTTGCAGTCATGAAAATTTCTGGATTAACCATCCTAACTTGTTGGTTTATTATGCAAGACACACTTATCTTTACACAGATGCTTACTCCATGACACTGAATCGAATATTCTCTCTTAGAGCTGAGGGCAGTTTTAAATCCAGTATTTTGCAATTTTCCTTTAATTATGCATGTGATCTTCCTCAGAGTAATTTTAACAGCAGTTTCGCTGTATAAGAAGATCAGTCCACAGTTACGCAAACTGCGTGTAGTTTGAGTTAGCTCCAGGACTGATGCCTGTGGAGGCACTGCTCGCTGTGCAGAGGGGTGGCAACACCACTGTGTGAGTGTGTCGGGGATTTATTGGTAAGCAAAGCACATCAGTTATAGTTCCTACTGCTGTCAGCACTGCAATCTATGGCCTGTATACTTTTTCCAGGTAAAAGACACCATTGGCTATGACACTCTGGGGCACTGTTTCTTCCTCGAAGACGGGATGGAGCAACGCAATACATTTTATCACAACTTGGGCCTCCTCACAAGGTCGGGGACGATCTTGCCTTCGGATCGCAATGAGGCAATGTGCCTTGCCATCCGCAGCCACGTCTATGGGAATTACGTTCCTGTGCCGAGCACCGACTGCATGTAAGCGCTCCGGGGGCTGTAGTCAGGTTTTGCACCTACGTTGTGCTTTATAGCTGGGTCCCCAAGAGTACTGTGGTGAAACTTTTGAAAGGTGCTATTTGATATTGAATGAAAAATTGCATCTTTTTCTACCATTTCTCATTTTAAAATAATTTAGCTACTTGACCGTGTTTTGCTTGTGAAGATACCTGTTAACACCTGCATGAATCCTAAACAAGGAATATTTGCTTCTGGTTATTCCTGTCGCTGTTTCCTGAGAATCATAACTATGTTAGAGCACTTTGCTCATTTCTGAACCCCTTTCAATTCTTTTTAAGTAGGATGTTGAAGGCTCCATGAAATCTGTCTGATAAATGCAAGTTGCTTCGGCCCTGGTATAGGCTGGCAAAAGCATCCTTACTACAAAGGAAGTTTTTGCCTTTTTTCACCAGGGCTGAATTGGGGCTGGAGCATCCACAGTAAATTGGTCAACAATACATGAGTGCATGAATATCTGGAGCACGTCAGGAGATTTAGTGAGAATGCAGAGATTAGCATAAAGTACAGTGAGCATCATTTAACAATAAACAATATCCCAGTATAGCTGACCAAAGTTAGCTTCTGCTTCGGAGACTGATGAGCTCTAACATGGGCACTTGGGGACCCAGGTATTGGTCTGGCTAGTGTTTGCAAGCAAGAACACAGTTCAGTCAAGGAAATTTGTATTTTCATTTTTTCTGGAAAAGGATGCAGTCACCAAACTGCTTATTTTAATCCAGCTGAATTAATTACAATTATTGTTGCTGAAATGCTAAGGTTGCTTGTATAGTTAATACAAATTTATTTTGCACCTATTTAGTGGTTCTGTTAATCCAAAGGAGTGTGGACTCTTGATTATGTAATAGTTAAGGTGGATAAAAAATGATTTTCTGCTTAGAATGATCAAATTAATTGGTATGGTCAGGAGAAAAGGTTTACCGTGTTTTTGCATGTGGTCTTTATTATTGCAAAATGTGTTATCAAATGAAGTAAGACAACAGATGACAAGTGTTTTCATAGCTATATCTGGCTTCTGCTTGTGCCACTCCTGATGTTCCCTCTGAAGCAAGAACTCCTGATTTGAACAAATGTCAAAATAATATTGCCTTAATCTCCTGCTTAACGAGCCATTTGCGGCTTGCAAGGACATTTGTTTTGTCTTCCATGTAGGAGCTTCATAAATCCATAAAGAGTCCCCTACCTCCTGCCATTGCCCCTGAAGTTCCAAAAAAACAAGCCAGAAGTTCACTTTTCAGACATTTTCCAAAGCTGCTTAACTTTAAAAAAAAAAGACATTGGGTTTCCTTAAGCTGCATTTAACAGAGCATAGATTTTGTGTTAACGGTCTCATATAATTTACAATAGGTTCAGCATGTGGCTCCATAAATGAACGTCTGACATTACTAGATGGTTTCTTTTCCTTAAAGAGTATCATTAAAAGGTTGTGTGGAGTTTTAAAGTCAATAGGAGAGTTGTGGCTCAAGTCCAGTGCAGTGGTATGAAAATGTATCCCTTCCTGTTTGGTAACTGCTTAGGATCATTTTGATTTTGATTTTTCAGGGCTGTCAGCACATTCTGGATTGCAAATCCAAACAACAACTTAATAGAGAATGCAGCAGCTGGTGCTCAGGTAATTTAATTTAACGGCAAGAGCTATGCTTTGCTTCCAGTTCCCATATATTCTACTCATTGATGTCATTAGCGTGAGGGCAATGAATTTTTAGTAAGCCATTGTAAAATTTGGATACATATTTCTGCAACCCTTGTCTCTGTTAAGGACAAGTATTTGCCTACAGTTCTCACACTGATTTCTCTCACAACTGTGGCTGGAGATGGTGTGTGATGTCTCTTAGAAAATTATTTTTATTAGTAGTTAATAGTTAAATGGCCAATAAAATTTGGCATTTGTATATATAAATATATACTTTCTCCTTGGTGTTATCTCTGATGTTTACCCAAATCATGTTTGTCTTTAATGTGCCTGTATAGAGAAGGGTATGTTTTCTAATAAACCATCTGAATTTCACCCACAATATATGCATTTTAAAACCCATGTGTGTGTGCCCCAGGGGCCCACTGTCCATGCCAAAGGATAAGTTAGGAGGTGTAAGAGCATGGGCTGGTGTGTGTCCCCTGGGACTCACACATGTTTGGCAGGCTCAGGTTAGACCAGCATAGTGGGAAGCCCTAAGTCCCTGGGATAGCCTGTATCATTAATTGTAGCATCCCATTTCTCAGCCCTCCCTTTGTCTTTTAGGATGTTGGAATATGGTACATCTTCCACCGGGTTCCAACTGGCCAGTCCGAGGGGCAATATCCAGAGGGACAGGCTGAACATACCCCCTTGGGAGTATTTTACAACAACAGAGTCCACTCCAATTTCAAGGCACGTGGATTATTTTTGTATGTTACTATCAATAAAATAGTATGGTGTAGGGCTGACCATGTGTGGTGCTCTGAAATCAGATGATCATGGGTATCTTACATTTTGATAGTGGTCTTTTAACACTGTATCAAGAGACAATCAACTTTTTAGGATGATGCTCTTTCTAATGATCAAAGAGGGAGCTGAGCAGAATGGGGCTCCCATGTCAGGTGCTTCAGTTAGGTGCCTGTGTTAGAGGGGATGTGCCCAGGCTGTAGGTACACCTACTACTAAGTGAGATTTAAGGAATGACAGGCAGGACACTGAGCATTGCTGTTGGCCACAGTGGTGCAAGGATATAGGGGGATGAGCAAAAGTCATTTGTGCCAGGGCCTACTCATCACCTTTGAAAAATGAGACCAAAAATTCAAGGGTAATTCCAAGAAAAACACTTTTCCCCAAATATGCTGTTGACATGAAAACGTAACCTGTAAGCTGTAAAAAGCATTTTTAACTTATTTCTCAGGATTCTAGATTGAAATCAGTGCTATTCTCCGTGCCTTGTGTATTTTACATCTTGGTCCATGACAGCTGCTGCTCTAGCCCGAAGTCTTTAACTTGGCTACAGCGGCTCACGTTCTCTTTTGACTGTCAGGGGACTCGTCACTCTTTATTTAAAGCCTTGCTTCTTAACAACACTCTTTTTCCAAAAAGTTATCAAGAGCTTGGCAGAGTCCCTTATTGCTTTCTGCAAGGCAGAGAGAGAGTGGGAGTTCAGTGCCTTGCTTTGGGTCAGAAGGCAGCCCAAGATGCTGATGCATAACACATGGTAGGGCAGGCTCAGTGTGCTAACATCCTGTGCTAATGTCATGCTGAGCAGTGCCAAGTGACACGGAAAGGGAAGAGAAAGCCCAGGCTGCAGCCGCTCTCTGTGCCTGCACGCACTGGCTGCCCACGTTCATTGACAGAAATCTGGGATCTCTGGTCTCTGTTGGGCAGACTGTTAAAATAATTGGAGTCGTGTGCATTTTCAGGCTGGTTTGTTTATTGGAAAAGGAGTAAAGACAACGAGAGCCAGCGCTGAAGATCCCAGAGAGTATCTCACTGTCGATAATGCCAGGTAAGCACATGCTGCATGGCCAAGTATTTTGGATAGCTGTATTGCTGCTTGGCTTCTGCATTGTATTTGGCAGATCATTAATGCCTCATTATGCTGGAGCATCTGAAAAAAAACACACAAGCTATCTCTGATGTGCAAATACTTCGTAGCTATGCACTGAATTGTTTGTGTTATTGCTGACCAAAAATGATACACGTGCACTTGGGGTTATGAGGACTAAGCAGTGAAGCACATGAAAGGGGATCCAGAACCCATTATTCCGTTAGTGGGTTTGTAAACTCCAGCATTTCTTATTAATTGCTTAAAATAACTTACACCTGAAAGATGACATGAGAGACTGCTGAGACTGGTCTAGGATTAATGAGGAAAGTAAAGTAGCCTCAAAGCTTTTTGTCAGCTGCTTTAAAATCTCTGAGCTTCCTTTTGCAGAGTGGAAGCAGGTAAATTAAGGCCATTTTCTCATTCACTGCAGCCCTATGGCTCTGTGTGAAGAGGATGTGGCAGGAATCAGCCACTGCTCCTGGTCAAGCCTTGGCTTTTTTCCTCCTCCATCAATGTTCCCATGTGGCTGAAAGGAAAGGGCAACCCTGCCTCCCTTTGTGAGACTTCCCGCCTTGGGCCACCCCCTTGGGCACTGAGGTGGCATGTCCCTCGGGACATCAGCTGGAAGAAGTAGGAGGTGAGGGTAGACTCAGAAAAAGCAATGGTGATTTTTTTTTCAACCACAGCACGAGTCTACCATTAACAGCCAGCGTGGCAAGAAATAGCCTGAAAGTAATTGAGAAGCGCCCACTTCACAGGGTGAATCCTTTTTTTGTATGACAGCTTCTTTTTCAGCAGAGACAGAAGCATATGGAGGTCTGGTCTGTATGTGCAAGGAAAGCAGCTCCAATTGCTCTGTTATCTTTGCTGAATGAGAATCTTGAAAGTGCCTAATTGATTTTCTAGCATCAATCCAGGGATTCCCAACAGGCCTTGTAAGGACAATTACAAAAGGACCCAAATGACTTCGGAAAAATGTTTTCTGTGCCTCTAAATCACACTGAATCAAATTAAGGAGTAACCGTGGGCCCACTGAAGTCTAGTGAGAAATCTCGTGTTGATTTCACTGGGGCCAGAACGTCTTGTTTTCTGCTTTGTACCAAAGCACAGGGATGAAATCAAGCTAATAGCCTGACTCTGATCCAGGGCGTATTACCTCTTTAGGCCCATCACACTGATGTTTGGAAGCCAAATGAGGTCTGCCAGGCACAACCTCCTCTGTCTGAGGTCGGTTCCTATGTCTCCTGTGCTGCATTAACTAAGCTCCTTGCTTCAGGTTTCGCCCACATCAAGATGCTGATCCTGAAAAGCCGCGAGTTCCTGCTGTGATTGATGGTCTTATTGCTTTTAAAAATAATGACCATGGGGCCTGGGCCAGGGGCGGCGACATTATTTTCCGCAACTCGGGGTAGGTTACTGTAATTATGTGCTATATCATTCCCTTCGCGGCAGACATAAATAGGTCTGTAGGCCAAATTCACTGCAGACATTCCTCCTCATTTACACCGTTGTGTTTCTTCTGTCCCAGGTTTTCAGACAATGGAATTGGACTCACTCTGGCAAGGTAATTTCTTAAAATCGACCTTCTTCCAGTTTTTTCCCCCCATGTAAGAGGCTCAAGAATAGAAGCTGAGACACTCCCCTGGTAATTCCTGTAAGACACAAGAAAACCTCACGTTTCCCTCCCAGACCACATCAAGTCTTCCCTGCCCAGCCATTAATACAAGGGGCAATTTAGCCTTTCATTCTCTTTGCCTCAGCATGTCTGGGGAATACATCGTAATTGCTGAATATTTCCTTTTGGATGGTAGGTCCTGAACCAGTAGACTAAACATCTGGCTCTGCATTCGGGGAGACTTTTCTTCTGCTCTAGCTCGGTGGAGCAGCATCACCCACAGCTCGTGTGCTGCCAGGGTATGGTGGCTGGGATGGTCCCACGTGGTGGCACAGCAGGTCTTCTGCCTCCTCTGCTGGTGTCTACCATGCTCCTGTTGCTCTCGTCTCGACCCCTCTTGCAAAAGACCCACAAAAATAAGCCATGTCCAAAGGCCAGTGCAGGCAGTGAGAATCAGTGAAGGTCTTGTTTTAGGGATGTGGCTAAAAATCTACAAAGCAACTTGCTATAGAGCAATTTCATATATATATATATATATGGTAAAGCTGGTTTTACCCAGACTAAGTTGCCTGTATTACTGATGCCTGAGCATTCAGCCACCTCCACACTAACTTGCTGGTTTCTAAAGGTAAAGCAGGCTGTTACATCAGTGGATGCACTTTTTCCCAAATTAGAAAAGAAATTCTGCTGTGTCTGTGGTGTAATTAAAAGTGTTAGTTAATCGGTTGTGGTGTGCTGCATAGTTACCTGGTGTTTCTTCACCTGCTTGTAGTGATGGGACTTTCCCGACGGACGAAGGCTCCAGCCTGGAGGTTACACATTCCATTTTTGTTGGAGAAAGCAGCAACTTTGGCTCCCAGGGAGGCCAAAACAGCTACTGGGGAAAAGGGGCAAATGGAGAATACAGAACACTGCCCAGAAACAAGTGAGTTATTCTTCTGCCATTTCTTCTTGATGTTAGCATAAGCTAGAAGAAAAGCCTCAGGAATGAATGTGACTACCAATGAGTAATTTATACCGGGTGTTTAAATTATTGTACAGGCCAGAAATAATAAGCATCCAAATATACTCTTCAGGCCAACAGCTTGAGAGCATTCTTGACAGAATGCATTTGATTTAGTTTTCTGCTTAATTTATTAGTCACTGGAGAATGGATTAGAGAATCTGAAAGATACCAAATGGCTTTTGTGCAGTGCTTCAGTAGTGCAGTGCCTAGCTGATGGTGCAGCTCCTGTCCACTGTGCCACCATCCCTCCTGCCAGTGTAGCTGGGCAAACATAGCTGGTTTGACAAAGGAGAAACCATTTTTCATTATTGCATTTTATTTTTCTTTCAATAGCTGTATGTTATTTTCTGTTTTGATAGCAGCACAGCCTCCTGTCTAGCAGCTACAGTGCCTACCCACATCCCCATTGCAACACGTACTTCCCCAAGCCTAAATTCTACCCTAACGTATGTTTTTGGTGATGCTCATCAATCATTGAATCCCTCTGTAAGGGATATAAAATTAAGGAATAAGCACTACTCAGCAGACATGCCGTGCACACAGCCCTGACTATCCATGTCTCAGCTTTAACTGACACAGGAATGGGATCTGTGTAGGACAGCAAGAATAATCAGAGCTATCCTCAGTTGTTATCGGTGTTGTTATTTTAATTGCAATTGCAAAAAAGCTCCTTTGCAGTTCAGACAAGCTCTAATCATCTGTGATATTGTTAAGCAATGTACTCTTGGAAAGGAGTATGCCAAAAGTCTGATATCTGTCCTTTCATTACGCCATAGTGCAAAATGGGATGTGGGGGTTGTACCAGACCCAACTACTGGGATAACAGCTCTGGAAATTGAAGAAGAATTATTTGGCCAAGAAACACTGTTTGTTCCCAGTGTTTCCAATTGGCAAAGTGTTTCTGGATCTCTGGAGCCAACCAGTAAGAAAAAACATCAGGGCTGGGGGGGAAATCTGGGCCTCGGTGACCCCCAGGCTGGAGAGAGCCTGTGTGCCCTTGTAATGTCCACTTTGCAGCTTTCATGCCTGAACAACTCTTTCTGGACTTGGTAGGCGTCGACCTACCCTTCCATGCCACTACTAGCCAGCTTCATTACCCTCTGTGAAGCTGATGCAGGCCACCCTTTAATCAAACACAACTGGGGCCAAGCAAAACTTGGCGCCTTCTCAAAACAACCCATGCAAGGGGCAGGTCCTTACCTGTGACTCCAGTGGTGCCTCCCTCAACGCTGATGTCTTGACAACATGTCCATGGACTGATGCTGCAGAATTCGCTTTTCTGTACGAAACGCTGTGGACTAGGTCCTAGGGATCTCGTGTGAAGTGGTTTGTATGGAGAGGAGAAACTGTGACACACCATTTGGTACTTGCTTCCAAGGAGACAGTGTTGCCTCCAGGGAGTCTGACTCATACAACTTTTTCAGCCATGCTGATGTTTTCCTGAGAAACCCATCTACCCTGGAACAGGCAACCTGATGGCAATGCTTCTGCACAGCCCTTTGGGTCTTCCTTGTGGTGATACACCCCTGGGTGGCTGGGGACAGGGTTTTTAAACTGCTTCACCCCAGCTTACAAGACTTAGGCAAGCTGTATGAGTCATTTTTTTCTGGCCCTTGAGGCTTGTCCTGTAGAGGGTGTTCAGCAGAGTTTCATCTTTCATTAACTGTGTGACGAGCGTCCAGATCCCAGTTTTGGGAAAGGTAAGGTGGTTTAGCTACTTGTTAATATCTTTCTGTGCCTTCAGGAGAAGACTCAGAGTTTGCCCAAGCTTTCAACACAGGATTGCGTTTGTTTTTAAATCTCACAGGACGTTCCCTATTCGTGGATTCCAGATTTATGATGGGCCTGTCAGGATGGCAAAATGCACTTTCAAGAAGTTCACCTCAACTGTTGACAGATACTCAAGTGCCATCGGGTTCTTCATGAAAAACTCCTGGCAGATAAGCCCCCAGAATAATGTGTCACAGATCCTGATGGAGAAAACCGTGAGTAAGAAAAGCAGGAATACATGCTGTTAGATGTGCAAGTTTTTCCAGTTTTTAGAAGCATTGAGAGATTTATCCTAGAGCAGGAATTTCCAGGCAGTGGTGCATGTTACATTGGTGAATACCATCAATTCATTTTGCAACACTTTTTTTTTTTTTATTTTTTTTTTTCACATGAGAGTTATTTATAAGCCAGTAAAATGTGAAGGTATCTTATGCCTGGACAGACATACATTAAAAAAACTGCATTAGAGGAAGATTTCACCTTGTAACCGGAAAATCCAGAACATCACTCTTAGCTGGTGCATCATTACCAGCTTATACATGCTGAAGACCTGGTGAGGACCTGGCCTCAGAGGTTGAGGGAAACACAAATGAGGCATCAGGAGGCAGTAAGCTGCAATACAATTCTTATACAGAAATAAGCAAATGCACTTAGAAGCAAAGCCATGGTCCAGTTTCTGGGGTCAGTAGTGAAATTCCTGTTGAGCACAACAGGGACTTCCCTTGAGCAGTGACAGCAGAATGGGGCTCTGTATCTCTGCCTTGTCAGGAGCCATAGGATGCTGAGCA